GGGGGGGGGGGGACCTCTAATTTAGCCCGAGGGTGGGGTCCTTAGCTCCTCTCGTGGGGTTACAAATCGCCGGCTGTATAGGTTTTAGTATAGGGGTCCTTAACCGGGCTCACAAAGCGGTGCTCCTCAAGTTCCTAGCTTAGATATCATGTGGAGCATCAAGTTCTTAGCTGCCAAGCGCCTAACCGCGGGCCACTATCTGTATCTTGTATTTCGCCATCCCAATACTCGCGTTTCCTACCCGTTCTCTTTACCGTACAATGCGTCTTCAGCGCTCGACTAACCGTATCTGACGATGACAATAGCGCCGTCCACCGACACGCCCATTCCCTCCAGCTCTCGAAAGTCTTCCGGTCGGCCGTAGTTGGCGTACACTAGAGGGGCTGTTACGTCTCCGGAGGGGGAGTAGCTGTTGCCGCGGAGTCGAAGAAAGTCGCCCCCAAGGAGGGCAACAAAAAAGTGCGTGTGCGGACAGGCGTCTAAGGGGGGCACGATGCGACTTGTCACAGCGGTTTGGAATGCACACAGATACCGACAAGCCTTCTAGACCGGGTGTCCCTCCGGTCGACATGCCTGCACCGTTGTAAGGTGAATAATTCGAGGACCAAGATGAGCTACGGCGGTAGAACGCGGCATGATAACCAAATCAACTTCAATTGCCACGGTACACCATGCAACACAAACGAATAAACGGGCTGTTGCCGCCGCCGCCGCCACCACCACCACCACTACCACGAACAGCAACAATAGCAACAACGACGACGACAACGACAACGACAAACCGCTACAACAACAACGACAACAACAACAACAACAACAACCAACGCACCCATTGTAGGTATGATTGCGGAGCCACGTGTCCGAGGTCGTGTCCAGGTCGAGCGTGTCCTCCGACAGAGAAGCCGTGAACAGCACCGACCCACTGTTCGAGTCCACGAGCTCCAGGGAGCTTTGGATGGGGTTGGACAGCAGTGCGTTGACCGGCTGCACTTCGACACTAGGGATACCGAACGAGGAGAAGCGATCGTGGACGTATTGCGCCATCTGGCAAGCAAAGGCATGCGAGGGTGGGCGGATTTTTCATACGAAAGCTTGGTGGTGGGTACGTGTCTCCTGCCGTCGGTTCTGTATTAAGCACATCACTGAAGCAGATACAGAATAGCAGCATTGACGGCCGGCCAACTCACAACAATCACCGAATCGTGAGCAAGGCAAAAAGCCTTACTCTGTCTCACCAACGATTGAGAACGGCGTACTAAGGTTTTAGGGATCGGCACTTAACCTGTTACACTAATTTAGGCTATTATAGGATACTGTGTAGAGCCTGCGGCTGAGCTCAGTTTCTGACGCCGATTTTCGTACCAACATTTCCCCCAAATTTCCAACATTCTGAGCCTGGATTTCTTTGATTGGGGCGTGGTCCTTATGCATACGAGGGGCTCTCATGATTAGGCTGGGAGAGTTCGTTCTGAAGCCGATGATGAAAGGAGCTGAGCGGAGAGTGCGCGACTCGCACTTGTACCCCAAGGGCACGATGTGCGGGAAAGAGTCCATTGAGTGGATACAGGCACGAGTGGGTATTTTGGTATTTTGGTATTTTGGCCTGACGCAGCAGATGATAAAAGTACAATCGTGACAGCTGATTGGTGCTGCGACTACAAGATGTTCGGATTCCATCATGTGGCAATCGTTCTGTCGCAAGTGTTCGATGACTTCACACCATAGTTTTCCCGGAACTTATTAATCTACACAATTCTTGAAACCACAGAACAACAAGACGTTCGAAGGTAGAAGATGTTGTGAACTCCGTGATGTCGCAACATTCCTGTCGGAAGTTATTCCAAACCAATGCACCGGGTCACAACGTCATGCTTGAAGAATGATGGTGCGAACTTCAACGTGCTCTAACTCGCCTCGCCTCTGGAGTCTCGAGCCCGCGACAAAAGGGGTGTTGTGATCTAACAAAAGGCTGACACGCTCAGGCGGGCGAAGACCGCCGGGGAAAAAGCTAACAGGCGTCCGCAAACTGATGTAGTACCGCACGAAAACGTCCTGCTTAAGATCCCAGTAATGGTTGAACTCTTGCGTCACAGCACCCACGAAGAATTGTAGTTAGGTGCAATACTGCCGTACATTAGTGGGCCGGCAAAGGTATGCGTTTTGGACACAACTGGAAGCAACCCGTGCGTGTAAACACCGAGCGGTTCGTTGTCAAGCTGGGGCGCTGGAGGTCAGCCGGACAGATGTCGGAGGGACACCAGTATCTTATTGCGCGTACGACTCTCCTCGCGACCTACGTGTGGCAACGAGCGACACTGTGGGTACACCACATATAGGTTTGATCTGTTTTTGAAACAAGACCAAGATCCCAGGAAGTGAGGTTTACCCGTCGCGGACCCATGCACGTAGTGCTACAAGCGTGAGCCTACAAGTAGACGTCTGTGTGGCAGGGGGTCAGTTCTCTCTTCCGTGGGAGGTTGTAGTTAGATGTCGCCTCGTTTGTTGGGCATGCAGTACATCAGCAGCCCGCCGACCACTAGCGAACTTCGCGGGGGATCCGCAACTGTCCTCGGGTCGGAGATAGGGTGCGCGCCGCCACGGGACAAAACTGTGTTCAACGGGACGTTGAAGTTTTTCGTCGCTGTGGCCGAAAAAAATACACCCAGGCCAGCAGGTTTGCACAGAGGAACGTCAACTACCACCCGACCACTGCACCACCAGCACATGCTCAATTGACTTGGCGGTTGTCGTGAAGCGTGCTTGACGCAGAACACACGCGCGCCCCACGCAGAGGATCCCCGTTCCCGCTGTCCGTGTGTTGCGGTTCGTGCGAAGTACAGCGTCGTCGTCACTGTGTGTGATTACGTACGAGTGATGATGCATCTGGACAACACAACGCAGAACGTGATTCAAAGCTTCGTTCTTGTCCCTCAACTTTGATCACCTCAAGGTCTCCGGGAGTGCCTGCGACGTGAGGCTTGGACGTGATGTGCTGCAGCGATTCTCTTGCCCCTTCCGCAGATGGGACGTCGACAAACGTTTGTTCGAGCTTGCTCAAAATGCACGAGCTCGGCTGCGTACGTAACAGCAACAGTGTCGCGAGGAGCAGCGGCAGACCAGGCGCCCCCACCTGCCGAATGTTCGGCATCGTCCTCCTCCCTGGCTTTCTCTCTCCCTCTCTGTCTCTCGGTCTCGCCATTACAATGATGAGTGTGTGTACCAGAGATGGGCGGCAGTCTCATTTTTTCGGGGGGGCCGCGGCTGCGACAGCTAAGAGGGTGAAAACGAAACGAGGCGTACACCGGATTGACAGTCTCGCATGTTGCTATTCGGCAGTTCAAATCCCTGCGGGCAGGTCATCATTCATGTAGCCTTTCGTACCCGCCAACAAGCCGAATGCCATCATACCTGTCTCTATAACAGGGTGGAAGGGCAACGCACCCTTGCAGAGAGTCATTGTACAATCTAGTGTGTCTGTGCTTGATCATAGACCGAAACTGCAAAGGGACGAAGAAACTGCGCAGACAAACACGACTGGAGAACCGCCCGTAGTATATACAGTAGATGCATCGCAGAGCGGTGACGTGCCGGCTCTGCCAACAGCAGTTCTTCCCAGCCTCGCTCAAGTTCCACCTTAAGGTAACACGTTGTTCATAGCACAACAGTAGACAAACGGGTGTGTGATGGTGCTGCATATTAGGAGAGCTCTATGACACAGCAACAGCAGTGACAGTACTCACGCCCCCTTCGTACAGAGTAGATTGGAGTAGTCCGTTTAAAGCGCCCGCGTTAATGAAACAAACGCCAATTTCCGGTCCAGCCTAAATTCTTAATTATGGGCTGAAATTTCAGGGTGCGTTGTCCAATTTCTAGTGTCTGTTTTCTTATTTTTCCTGGAAATTTGAACCCATTTTTCATAATTATTTAATCGCGGGGCGCTACATAACTGTCGACAAAAGTAGCGGTACGAATTGGTTGTATGCAAGGCTGCACCGACGACGCTCACTTGGGACGAACGTCGGACTCCACATCTACTCGGGACGTACTCGCTAAAATTCTGCATTCTTCTATAAACCTGGTACACTGTAGGTGTGTGCGAAGAAACCGGAGCACATCGAGCTACCGTGCGACCACTGCAACGAACGGTTTCCGTGCACGGTCCTACAGGTACGTACAGAAGCATTTTTGCACAAGGAGCATACGTAGACTACGTCAGCACGCATGTTGATGCTTTCGTTGTTTCCATCCCAACTGCCCCAGGACGCAGTCTACGCCTTTTGGTATATGGCGCACAAGCCGGGGACACACCGGAGGAATTATCCACATTTCCTCCTGGGGTTCTTGCGACAATATTGAATTCGATAAGGGTTCAGCACTCCCTATTCCCTTTCGTCGTACGTACCACGACTAGGAGCTGTTCAGTTACAATTGTGTGTGCTGTAGTTGGCAATGAGCACGTCTCCCCACTCGTTGACGCGTTGCGCCTTAAATGCAATTGCCAGTGTTCACGACTGCTCCGAAGCAGGTTTGTTTGTGTCATTCTGCCATTGTGGATGCTAGAATGGTTTAGTCTCAATTCTGCCCCGAACCCTGCCGTGCGAACACCTTGTTGAGTTCGGCAAATCATCTCACTCATTCCCCCCTCAAGCATGCCCCGTATCGATCTACGTAACCTTCTTCGCTTCCCCAGACACGTGTGCTCTAGCTGCTCTCCACAGCGTGCTATTAATCCCTTGCACCATCATCAAAACGTGTTTCTTGGCCTCAGATGCACATGAAAATGTGCGGGCGAGGTCGAAGACGAGCAAGAACCACTCCTGGTAGGGTTGTACAATCGCAAGACCCCACGAGGCGTCTGTCGCAGGGCGGGCGACGTGGTGCTAGCGGCGACAACCCTACGGCAGGAACAAGGACGAGTCGACAGCAAGACCAGCAACAGATTCATTCCCCCGTAGGCTCTGCAGCCGTAAGGAAACACAGAACATTCCCAGACGACGAAAAAGCGTGTGATGAGATATTGGGATTAAACCAGTCCGGTGACGAGCGCAGCAGCAGTGATACTAACTTTGCAACCATCGGAGGTGATGGGGATAGCGGAGGCGTTAGCACCGCCGTGGAAACGTCGTGCGATGGGCGAATAGCCTGCTCCAACTGCAAGCGTCGGTTTTCCTCCGACAGGGTAGGCGTCCATGAAGAGATATGCAAGCGTGTCAACACAACGGAATCAGTTCGCGCCGGCACCAACAAGGGCAAGAGAGGAAGCTACAAGACTAAAAGGACGGCATCTCCTACGAGCTGCTTGTACAGGCAACGATTGAGCAATCCCGTCGTTGGTGGGACACTGGCGCCAGCGGTAGGACGCTGGGCACGGGAGCGCTCTTTGGGTCGAAAGCAACGACGCTTCAGGACTCATCATACTGTTGATGATGCCGGAGACAGACCGGTGGGTGTACGAATAAGTGCGTCCCAAGAGACGGTATCTATGAATCGATGAAGATAGCAGGATTTTTGAAGCAGGTTTTCTGCCTGTGTAAAGCTTACAATATGCGTTTTGAGCGCGGCCAACCTGAACCCCCACGCTGTTTGTTGGAGATCTTCACACATCTGGATAAATGTGTACGGAATCCGTGCTACACTCTGTAGACGCGCCTAGCTCGAGAATTTCTTCGTCTCTTTCGCTCCCACACTCTTTCGGCCGCGGTCATTTATTATTGTAATTGGGTTCGTTGTTCTCAAACATTTCCGCAAAGCAAGGACAACGAACGACGCACCTGGCTGTTGCTCGTGCAAATGACTGTTCCCTGTTCTATTCACCACCCCGCAACAGTTTTTAGCCCAAATCGACCAAGCCTGGACGTTGGGCGGGAGCCAAGGTCAGCCAGATACCGCCACTATCACCAGCTCACCACCCATGGTCGACGCTTCCAGAGCACTAGGACCAGGAGCTCTCCGTTCAATGGGCGAAGAGCATCGAGATTCCACCGGCTTTAGCAGCCTCGGTGGTGATACATCATGGCTTCAGCCCATGGACGGTAGGGCACGTAGCGGGGCATTGAGGGACTTGCGGTCGTGGACAGAACGAGACCCTAACCTTCCTTCTAACGCCGTAGCGAACACTGCAACTCCTCGCGGCGAGCACGAGGCACAACAAAGACACGAACGGCGCGGTACCAGTGCCACGGTCTGGGAGTCGTCCTCGAATACAACGTTGCGAGCCACGGGAACTCCGACGAGGCTGTTCGTTGGACGCGCCGTGTCAAGGAGTTGTTCACCGGTCCGGCAAAGACGCGGGAGTACCAGCACCGGAGTTTGTCCGCATCGGCACGAAGGGGGCAATGCCCGAGGAAATGTCGTCGGTAGCCGTGGTGGCATGAGCGGAGACTCTGGAAAAACCGATTTGGGGAGAACAAAGAAGGGTTTAGGCGGAGGCGTCGAGAAATCGTGTTGTGGGGTTGGGTTCTTTTCCCCTTATGCTAGAGACGGGCGGCGAGTAAGCTTGCTCAAGTAAAAATGTCGAGCTCGATTGGATCGGCGATCATGCTCCAGGAGCTCGAAAGCCTTAAGAACCCCTGTGGTTCATGTCAAGTGCATGATGCGCGTTCCGAAGGGTTGTGTATCTTCCGTTTTCCGGTCAACCCGCTGGCTCCGTTTGAGTGTGGTGGCTTGAGCTGTGTCTGTCGCCTAAAGGCGGTATGTCTTTCGGTGGAAAAGCTACACATATCGCACAACAGATCAATTCCGGAAACAGGAAGAGCCCACTCGCGCTGGAATATTCTGCTAAAGAGCACCAGTAGTTTCTCAAATAAAGCGCCCTTGGAGGTGTATACGTTGGTCGGTAAAAATTCACTGTCGGGAAGTTCCTTTCGTTTCCTCATCCAACACACTATCATCACCGTGGTTGTTGCAGTTGTTGTTGTTGTTATTGTTGTTATTGTTGTTTTTTTCTCCACAGTAAAAACCGTGGCGAAAACAGGAAAAATTATTAAGCAGCAACAGATTACAGTACAAGCCAGGACCCCCACATGCGGCGCATCAACAAAAAACGCCTCCCTGTATCCCAGCTCTACGAAGACATCACACAGCAAGGCTTAAAGACGTCCATTGGGCGCTTTCACAGTTTTTCCAAGGTCTGTCTACCAATCAGCCAGCCGCCGGCACGTTGTGGTTGCCGCGATACGCCCCCCCGCCAGCAGAGGCAACCGGAGCTGAGTCCTTCGCCCTGCCCTCGCCGTTCTTGTGGTCCCGGGCGTCCGCTGCCCGCCCGCCATCGTCAACGCCAAAGGCCTCGTTCACCGCCCCTCGGCCACCGCCGCCCGCCGAAGACCCCGCAGCAGCGCCCGTATCTCGCCCTCCCGGCGCGCCGTCGTTCTCCTTGCCCTCCTCTCCGTCGTCCAGCTCGTTGTAGCGCTTGAGGTAGTCGGCCACCTCCGCCGGAGAGGCCTTGACGAGCTCCCCGCTTCGCACGAGCTGCCCGGTGACGGGATCCGTCCCGGTGTAGCCTAAGTACTCGCCTCCTCCTCCTGCTGCTGCCCCTCTCGGTGCTGTTGGTTCTACTCGACCGTGTGCTCCACCGGCCTCGTCGTTTGCCGCCGCGTCGGTCTGTTTTTCTTCGCGGTCTTCGCCGTTTCCCCGTCTCTCGTGGGGCTTGGAGTTGTTCGCCTGTCCGTCGAGGATACGAAACGACGAGAGGGAAATAGGTAAGCCTCGACATAGAAAAGGCACAGTGTTGCTAGGCCTGCTCTCACAGATGATCAGCAGCAGTGACTCTGCAACAACCAGTCTGTGAGTGCCTCAATGCAGCCACCTGTATTTAGCCATACGGATTTCTGATGTGTACAATATTGTGTCAGGAACGCTTTCGTTCGGCGCTATCAACTGAAAATTTTGTTTTGCTCGTCGAAGAAAACATTTCGTCCGGAGAAAGTGACTTGATCTGAACTCGATGCGTCCGCAAGTTGGCTAGCAAACGCGCGTGGATGTGAATACGCGTGGAAGAGAGAGCCCACAGCAACAACAATCCCGACAAGAATAACTACAACATTGTCTCGAATATTCTAGGAGGATGGTGTATGCACATGTGCCCTACCTGTTCGTACTGCAGGTGACTCTCGTAGTGCGACAGGAGTGCCGGCATCCTTGACCTCGGACAGAGGCACCAGTCCTCCTTCACCATGTGCTGTCCCGTTATGACACACATAGGGAGAGCGTCCTGCCAGAACAACGGCGCGAACATCAAATCAAGGGCGGAGGGGGGTGGGAGAGATGGCGATCGATCGAGACAGGTCTTGTTTAGATCGGTGAGAAGGACAAGCTGTAGGGAGAATGCGGGCTGGCACAAACGTGAAACAATGACAACAAACAATCTCGAAGGTCATCACAACCACAAGCCCCATGACCAAGACGACCGTAACCGTCGACAAACGCCAACTACGACCACGTACTCCGGCAACAAAAATAGCCCTTGACACGAAAGAACCACCCCGCTTACCTTCGTAGAAGGGCACTCGAGTTGGGTGATCGGCACCTCAGCCGCGCTGATGGGGCACTTGGAAGTCGGCTCTGGCTCTTCGTCGCGGTTCGGACGGCGAACGATGGCCTCGATGTTGCGGCGGTACTTCTTGTCGATTTGTCCTCGGTACTCCTTTAGATTCGGCGTAGACAACAAACGGAGGCGTTTGTAGAGTGAGGGACGGGGGCGCTTGGGTTTTGAGGGGCTTACCATATGTTTTCGCGGCCGATAGGACTCTCTTTCGTTCGAGTACTTGCGTGCGTCTACTTGCGTGCGTCTACCTCTAGGAGCAAGAAAAGGGGTGGTTCCAGCCAGAGGTCTTGAAGAAAACAGCAACAGCAACAGCAACAGCAACTACAGGGCGCAGCCATGTCGTAGTTGGACCTGACGTTATTTCATCCGAATGCCATGGTGCCTTGCGCGCTTGTGGCTCTACTGCCTGTTTTTTCTATCTCATGGTACACGTGGAGAAGCCCTATTGCCGGACAGGCAACAGGAAAGCAACATTCGGTAGCAAAACAGAAGGTCGGATGCAGATATAAGGTTGATCATGAGCGGGTTGCCGCAGCAACTGCACTGCATTTGACCACGTGCCTAAAAACTTGGAGATGAACTACAGTATCAAAAAATGACCAACCTCACGTCGACCCCTCCCCACCGGTTCCCATGCCAACAGCAACACCTACATAACGGCAGTGGCCCTTTTACCTGCCGCATGAGCGTCGACGCGTACTCGAACGCCGAGTTCCTCAGCCCTGACCGCTGGCACTCGATGACGGTAGACGTAAGCACGGGCACGATGTGCGTCGGGAATCGCGAGATGCTCCTGGCTACCCTCAACAGCATCCGGGCCGCGCCCTCGTGGTCTCCGCGTCGGACCATTTTTTTCACCTGTGGCGTTCAGGACGCGCGTATTGTTATGATGTTCGATTGATCCTGCCTTGTTGGGAGGGGGGGGGCTGGGGCTTCCTCACCGTGCTCGTAGCTTGCCCTGGGAGCTAACGTGTACTCGCCTCTATATTACTGGTATGTTGGTCTGCCACAGGTATGCTGGGTGCGAACGGAGGTTGGGGATTTCCTCTACGGTTTGCTGCAGAGGGTTTGTGGTACGTTGCGTGTTTTGTGTATTCAGGGCGGGTGGGACGGGTGGGCCGGGGGTCGTTTTCCAACAATCTGTGCGAAAGCAGGAGTGAGTATAGCCTAGCATATTAAACGCTCCGAAAGCAGCTTTCGACGCTCAGGAGACCCCTTTCCATCCGTTCTTGTAATGGACGATTAGGATCCTGGATAACACGACATAACCATTTTCACGGTGACACATCTCGAGAATATCTTCAGTTCCGGAACATTCGGACCGTTCATCGTTCGTTCCAGTAAAAAAAAAGAAACGAGGCACCTACCAAAATGTAACTGTGCAGCAGCACAAAGCTTCGACGGAGGGACTGCGGGACGTGTATCCCCTGATCCTCTAGCTGTCGGATCGTCTCGAAGAGGATCCCGTGCGCCACCTGTGAGTGGATCGGGAAAGGGTTGCAACCATTGCGGAGTTCAGCTGTCGGGCGTGTGCACATTGCGCCCCTTCACGGGGAGATATAGATAACGTTTGGCGATGGCCATTGTAAAAGGCGTGCGAAACACATGTCACATTCCAGTGTCTGGTGCCCCCGAGAATCCGACTCCGTGGGCCCCAGCTAGCGCTAGCCAACAAGAAAGCATCTTCCCGAAACTTTGAAATGAAAAAATATTGTTTCTTGGCGATTTTTTCGGGCCAAGGCCTTACCCATGTCAGTATTATTTACTGTCGTCGACTACGCCTGCGACTTTGCCCCTGTTCGTTTGCTGCCGTCGTCTTTCCCCACCGGGGGATTCTTTCTGCTTAGGAGGGGTGAAATTCCTTGCAATATATAGAACGATCGCCCCCCGATCTTGACACAACTACCCAACACTTACACACTCTCGTAGCTGCCACCACACGTGGTTACGAGTTAGCCCGTGGGATTTTCCATGACCAGACACACATCTCCCACCTTGTAGTTGCCCAAGTCCTGTTCCTGCTTGGCGATGATGATCGCCGTCTTTGCAGCTTGAGAGTAGCTGCCCAGAGCCATGTACAGGCGGTAGATGTAGTTGGGGTCCTTGGGGACCCCGTCCGTTTCCCCCATCAAGAAGTCGATCAGGGTATGCGTCAGCATGTCGTTGCGGGCCTTGCCCACCACGGCTATGGCGGCCTCCACCTCCTGCTTGCCGCACTGAAGGAAGAGCTTGAGTGCTCGGTGATGTTGCCCGCACAGGCTTCAGCCACGGGCGAACAACACCAACACAACCACACGACCATCAGCATTGAATCAACAGCAGCGGCAGCAAAAAGAAGAAGCAATTAGGGTCATCGAACAGAATAAACGAACGAATGAACTAATTGTTAGGAGTGGCCTCCTTTTTACGGGGTTGCGGAAAGAACCTCTTGCTGTGCCGGCGTGCGGTAAATGAGGTACGGGTAGGAAAACGAGGGACGTAAGGCGGGGATACCATCGACGAAAACCTGTCTACGCGCGAACACGTAGCAGCACGTTTTGGTGTCACGCGTTCGGTGTCTCACGGCTAGGGCAATAGCCCAATAGTGTTTACCTGTAGAATTTACCCGCCTTGCCGAGCTCGTGCTTTCCCTCGTAAAACCGAGCCACGCTCAAGGCGTCGTCGGGAGAAACGTCAGTACCCAACACCTGTGGTTCGCCGGAGTGCGGGGGGCGGGGGGGCGGCCAGGGGTCCTCGTCAACCCCACGAAGGCGGATGCCACAGCAAGAAGATATCCACGAATAGCGTAGGCAGGAGCAGAAACAAAGGGTGGGGCACCCTGGGTGAAGGCATTAGCCGGTGCGTGCGGTCTGGTCACGTCGACGACGTCAGGGAACCAAAAAACATCAAAATTTATCCCCGGTGGGCGAAAGCAATTCCAAGCCTTCTTGTGCCACGAAAGGGTGCGGGCACCTTCGTGAAGATGTCCATCCGTGCGTGCGATTTGGCCAGGCTGAAGGCGTCGGCTGTCCTCTTGGCCATGAGCAGGAACTCGATCGCGCCCTCCCAGTCCCCGGCATCCTGACAGTGCCGTGACACCATCTCCGCGCCAGTGCTGCGAAGACCGTGCATGTTTGTCCGCGCAACGCGTACGGCAAAAGGAGTTCATGAAGCGCGGGGTATGGCACGAGGCAGACGCTACGCAAACCAAGCAGTGGTTGGTTCGAGGAAACCCTTCGAGGTCATGCCGTGAGAAGTCGACCGCGGTACGCGTGTCGGGAGTTTCGTCTTCAAAGGGCTGATCCGTTGTTGCTATCGTTGTTATCGTTACAGCTTGACAGGGGAAACCATCTGCGCTCGTTCCAGCCAGCTCTCATGCCCGACAGTCTCCAAATGGCCATTTGTTCAACCCACACCGTACGAGTTGATTTGACCGTAGTAGTAGGTTTGCTCATCTTGTCTGTACCCGAATTAACCTGATTCTGGAAGACTTTGAAGAACATAGAAGCGATTCAATAATGTGGCAATCGTTGTACACTGCAGAATGTTTCCAGATGTTGATCCCGACTCGACTGAAAATTTAAACCCTGATGCAGAGCGTCCTTTCGATCGGTCTTTCGGTTCGAATTACGACCGCCACTGACAACATTGATAGGAAAAAACGCGGTGCCTGTCCGTTAGCGGTTTCGTCCAGCGAGAAGGAGCCATATTGTAGTTTCCCTTTGAAGCATGACAAACGATCTTATCGACTGGCCGAGAGACCGTCCAGAGAACCAACGGTCTTTACAATTCAGAAATCGACGGCAAACGGAGCTTTCGCAGACCCTCGCCGAGTCACTGCTTGGCTAGGAAGGTCGCTGTTCTTGTGAGTGCCAACACCGATCACCTGGACGCGTTCTCTCGCACAATAGCGAACGCTCGATGCGACTGGTCGAGCTGGTCGAGGCACAGCCGCACCACCGAGTCCATGTCCCGCGCTCGCTCGTACGCCTCCAAGGCTTGCTCCCACCTGGTGTTGACCACAACGGAAGCCAAGCAAGGGGCAAGGTATGAAGCCCTCTCGATTCCGACACTCACGCCGTGCGCAGCGGTAGATGGTCAGGCGTTCTCGGCCTTTTTGCGACGCCGAAGTGGGTGGTTTGCCGAGGGACACGGCACTTTTCATGTCCTCGCTCGTTGACTCGCCTCCGCAAAACATGGTGCTGGGATAGTAGGAGGTACTCGAAGTCGGCATGGAAGACCAGCGCGAGTGTACGGAGAAGACCCAGCCGCCTAAACTTCGACCCAAACCTCAAGTTTCCCCTCCCATGCAATGCCTACCCCCTCGGGGTGCAACCTACACCTGGCAGATTATATTTTTCTCTGCTCACGGTGTCAACGAACACGGATACCCTGTTGTCAAAGGGGAGGCGACCGAATGCCAAGCCTGCCCCGAGGACCGCTCGCGACAACCGCCGCACCTTCCGGTTATCTCGCAGGCCTTGGCGTACTGTCCGAGAAGCTTGGGCTGCGTTACCCTCGGCATGACCGTCGCGGCCTTGTCCAAGTCCTTGGCGGCGACGTAGATAGCGGCGGCACGGTGGTCCTGGCCTCCCAGCTCGTACATCGCAGCGGCTTCCGCCGGCTGTTTCATGCTTTCGAGGATACCCGCACATTCCCGGAACAGCTGGGACGATCTGGACGTGGGGAATGAGTTGTTGGCGATTCCGTGGACATCATGCATCACATTGGGATGTCTGGTGAGCCATAACTATGGTGAGCCTTGCCCGGTACAGAGTGAGAGCGGCACGTCAAATTATAGGCCGAGAGTACCGATGCAAAACGACATCATTTTCATACAACGTTCGTCCCGATGGATGACGTGATGCGGCATGTGCCACCTATAGCCTAGGTCCAAACACTCGGCCACCATTACACCGCCGAGCCGATACCTCACCCGGCTCCTCTCGCGAGCCGCAACCCTTTTCGCAGGTCGCCCGACCGCAGCGTGCAGCGAGCCACCCCGGCCAGGCACACCGCTCGTCGGGTCTCGTCCTCCCGGGCAGCGGCGGCGTCCTCATCGTCGTCTTCCACGTCGCCGCCGGCGGCGTCAGGGGGGGAAGACAGCTTGTGTTCTTCGGCGCTGCCGCCGCCACTACCACCACTGGTGCTGCTGAGGGCAGACTCGTACATCGCAAGAGCGTCGTCGTTGCTGCCTCGAAACTCCAATTGCTGGCCGTACTCCACGCACAGCTCGGGCTCCTGTTTTCGTGCAGAAGACATGGCACGGGGTGCGCTCGTTGTTGTCGTGCACGGCCTCATTTGTCGGCGAGATATCTATCATCATATCCCTACCAGGTCGGGACGGAGCGCTCCATCAGGTTTCGGTCGACCACGCAGGAGTTCCTCTGAGCGCAAAACGCCGTAAGTTGTTCAACGAGCCCCACAAGAGTGTGTACGCCCGGGGGCGGGGGGAATTTCGCGACAATATGTGCTTTAATCGGCCGTTTGAGGCCACCGTAACAACTTGGCGGGGCACAAGCTTCAGTCGTGCTGGCGTGTCATATTCTCTCCTCTGCATTTTGCCTCTTAGGTCGAAAGTCCCCACTTCTCTTTGTACAAGGCAAGTTGTGTACCACGGTACCTGGGATTGCCGGGATTGGCTGTTGCCGTTGCAACCCCCGGCTGAATATTATATCCTTATCGCGGGTTACGCCCTACTCATTGTTTACGTCGTAGGTAGTGACGCACGTACAACCGTATAGATCCGAGACCCAACGAACTACGTTCCTGAGGTCTGAAGATCTTTACAAACAAGAGGCCTTCCGTCTGCTGTGACGAGCCAGAGGGTGGAAGCGGGCCCCTGAGGCTCACTCTCACCTTTCAACCTAGCAAGGCCGACTAAAGTCAGCCACGGTTGGCCATTCCTTGCCACATTGCAACAAGAACGAAGTTACCTTCGTTGGTGAAATGTTATTCACCACTTCAGGGACCTGTACTGGTAACAGAGTGACGGTATTCTCTAGGGGGAGCACTGTGGAACAAACGACAACTCCAAGGGGGGGGCACGTTGCCGACCCGCCTTGCGGAATAACGCTCGCGAACGCCGAAGACCCTCTCACCTTGTGTGGGGCGAGCGTGTGCGCCAGCTTGAGGGCTTGGTCCCAGTGTCTCAGGTCCCATCTCATCTCCAGCGCTGTTACCGGTCGGCTGCTGCTCAGGAACAAATCCTGCGGGCACCGAACAAATGAAAGCGTCAGGCCTCGGGTCGCAGCATCGAGAACACCCATCTACTCTGAAGTACCGAATGACGCTTCAGCAGGACAGAAGCGTAAGAATCCCCGCACGAAACACAGGGGCATCTGCGTCGAGTGTTCGGTAATTCCTCCTTTGGTTCCCCAGTAACTTTTCCTGTTGGGTTTAGAGTCGGACGTTTCTTCTTGCCTGCGCGGTCTGATAGTTGCCGAACAGGAGGGCCACGTGCCCCGCCAAGAGGTTCTTGTCCTCCACGTAGGCGATGCGTTCCAGGCCCATGACCATCCCCGCGTCCCCGAGCTGTCGGTAGACATGCACCGCCATCTGAACGTCCAGGACCTCCATTGCCTGGCGGGGGGTGAGTGGGCGGGTGCGTTCCTCTCAAGGCGTCAGAATACCAATTTCGACCCTTAGATACTTCGGTCTTATTTAGTTCCTGCGTAGGTATTCTAATGCGACGGTCGCTGAGTTGGAATACCAACGGCTTCAATAGATTTCCTCTTTGCCCTACCAGGAGCCTCCGACAAAGTTAACCTTGCTGCCGACCGCAACAAGTCGGGAAGAATGAGTGCGACCAACCAACAGCCCTTCCGTGGACGAGTGGTCGCTGGCACTCTTTTTGGGCCGGATGTAACACAACGAGTTCTTGGGTCGCGGGACGTTACAGCAAGGGATGAACGATCTATGGACATGGGCCAACGTGACTCACATCCGCGGGTAATCTTGATCTTAACCCCAGATCCGTGGCCCGACTGCATCTGCTAACGCGACGAAATACTACTTCTTCGCCACGGCGTGCGAAGCTCTGCTATCCTTCGATGTTCTGGCACCAGAATAGACGTACTGGAGTACTTGAAGCATGATATTTTCCATGTTACCGTTGCCTACGTCAAAGCTTTTCCACAAGAGTGGAAGTACTGTTAATCTCAAAGCACAGGACCAAAAGAGAAGATTATTGATGAACAAAAACTTGTGGTACCTTGTTGCTCAGCGCTAGCCAATACCGTCGCTCGTCTAGCTGTAGCGCGGCCCGCCACGCCTGCTTCAGCCTAAGCAACGCCAGATTTTCTAAGAAGCACCTGCGAGGGGGGCGGGGGTCGGAGTGTATTTCTTCAGGGGAACTGGGAAACGGTAGTAATGACAGTTCCGAGAGGAGACCGCGCCATCGGCTGTTAGTCCAATCTTGCTGTTTCTTCGACCCCGAAAACTACATGGTAGTGTCACCGCAAGACAAATGCTCTGGCTGATATTTGTGCCGTCTTGCTACGTTCGCCACCGTGCTACAGCAGGAAGTGACGAGACACGAGAAGATCCGTCCACCGGCGTCCTGTAGATACTCGTCGCCACCCTCTTGCACCGCATGATATCTTCTCCCCCCTAAACACACTGTATCTCACCGCCTTTTTCTTGAACAGCTCGTTCTTTTGTGCTAGTCGACGAAACCGCTCTTTGTCTACACGCACCTCTCCCACACGTCGCTGGGAGCCCGACTTCCCGCGTTGGCGAACTCGTAGGGGGCTGCCACGAAAGACGCGATGTTTCCCGTGTGCGTCTGGCACGTGATTGTTCCCTTGTGGCTAACCACGGGTGCGTGTTGTGGGGGGAGTGGGGTGCTGTCTGGTGACATGGCGACGCCTCCATCCTCGCTGATCTCAACCAAGCCCAACTTGGTCACCTTTGAGTAGGGTTTTGCGCGGCGTGTTTTCGCATGGTTGTTAGCGAGAGTAAACCCAGGGAGCAGGAGATGGGATCACGCAAAAGTGACCGCGCCACACTGCACTGCACGCCAAGGGCCTGAATGGTCGCCATAGGAGTTTCTGGCAGAGGGTGGAAATAGACTCCTCGGAGATCATGCATGCGCTCTCGTGAAAACATGGATCATATGAACCACACCTCGAAGAACTTGCAATGTAGTAGAGCCGTGTGAAGACAAGATCTTCGGTCGGCGGGGTGCATGGCAGTCGTTCGCAAACCAGACGGTGTCGAAGGGGTGCCTTTCAGATGGTAACGCAGTAGCCATGATTCGCCCTTCCTTGCGGTAGGCTGTACGTGGCTGAACACACACGAGCCATGCACGCAACCAGCAGAATTACAGCAAAAAATTGTCTCGCGTGGAAGTATCAACTTCCTTAGCATGTTCATCGATGCCCATGCCTCTGTGCCCCTCCTAGATCCTATGGCCACGCGCCCACACAGCCTTGTGGCCGGACATCTCAGCCAGCGTTCTTACCATGCTGCCCCGGATTGTCGTGTGCGAATGAACGTACGTGTGCAACTCCCTTCCGTCCGAGATCATGAGCACGTCCCGGTCTACCTGATCCCACATGCAGTGCCGACAGTTTGGCGGGAAGCCTTCGATCTGTGCAGAGAGACGGCGACGACCTCACGGGTTATAGTTGCGCCGAACCAGTGCTTGCATGTGTGCGTGCTTCGAAGAAGACATAAAGTAAAGTGGTGCGACAAGTCTTTGTCCGACAAACTATGCAGGCTGGTTCGTGCTGTTCCTATCGCCGTCACCAGCGAAAACAGTTGCACAGAGCAATCCCTCCCTTCTACCCTTAAAGAAAAGGTGGGGATAGGCAGACGAGCTAGTTTGATACGTCGCTTTGTGGCCTATTGTGCCGCACAAGGCATCTGCCCTGGACGGTGGTATGCGACAATGACGCACAGTTAGCTGTGCCAGAGACACGTACAAACATTCTTGTGTCTACTTCCCCCCCAACCAACCACCTGCCCCCTTTCCCACCTAGCCCCCCGGCCAGGAATCATGTCTCTTGCCTGCGTCAGCTTGTCGCTCGAGGGGCTATACAACCATCCCGCGCCCACCGCGTCCACGAAAACGACCCTGGTGCCTAGGTAGTTCGGCCACAGCCGGAGCACCGGGGAGGCGTGCTTGAGCTCAATTCCTGCGAGCGGCGCCCACTCCGACAGACAGAAAAACTCGACCGTCCCCGCCTTCGTGGCGTAGATCAAGAACGCCTCCGTGAGCCCCACCACCGTCGCTTCCCCGTGTTCGCGGTCAGCCCGTTCCGGGAACGTTTTTCGAGCGCTGGGACTGGCCATCATCCCCGCTCCCTCCCTACCACCGCTTCCCGTTGATGCGCCGCCACCGACGGCGATGGCGGGCGATCTGCCGTGTCGCCCCCCGGGCCCGTCTGCGCCACCCTTCCCGTCGAGCTCTATTCTCTGCAAGATAACCTTTGAGCCGCTAAGCACAGCGGCACAGGTGCTGTTGAGCTGCACGTCGGTGACGCGGCCGTTGTACTCTCGTTCATCCACCTGGAAGAGATAATTCAAGAACGAAAAAAAACAAAACATTGCATGGTCTCATCTTGGGTGTGTTTCCCCCGTTTCAACTTGTCGGGTGGCTGCCACACAAACAAACATAGACAACAATGGATAGCCTTCCACGCCTACTCCTAATGTGCAAAACACAAGTGCACGCAGGACAAAGAATATGTGGTTCACTGGAGGACCGACTTTATTCTCATGGTGACAACATGGTACGGTAGGCGAAGCGACCCAGCGGGACAACTCAACTCCCCACCTGTGATTTGTCCTTCCGCGTAGCGCGGTAGAAAATTACCCGGTCGTTCATGGCCACGGCCACGTGCGCCGGGCCAAGCCCGACGATCGTCGGCTCGATGCCGACGGGGACGTTCAGCGGCTTTTCCCCCGGCCGAGCCACGTCCACGACGGAAACTTGCCGCAATGACGAGAGGTACGCAACGCAGGGGCCACAGGACGCGTGGACGATTGGCATCCTCGCCAAGAAGTTGAAGACGTCACCCGTTGCGGTGGCGACAGTGAGGATCTGTCCGTCTGGGCACCATGCCAGGCCACAGATCCCGCCGTCCTCTTTGGACGTCGGAACTTGCTCCTCGCTCACTTCCTTGTACGTTCTCATGTTCACTACCTTGCATTGCGTTACAGACATTGGACAGCAGATTCTTTTGTGGGGGGGATGCTGACTTGAGTTTTCAACAACCCAGTGGCGGGTTCTGTATTCACGTTCGTGTTTACACCAATCTGCAATTGTAGCGTCAGTGCGCATGTATCGATAGGTGCCAAAATAGCGTCGCGTTGACTAAGTGCCACAGAGAAAGCAGAGTTTTGACTTTGATGCCATCGAACGCTCTCGTGCAGTAGTCCAAACTCTTCAAGCCTGCCTTCCCAATGGAGGACTAACGCAAGATGCCATCGTTTGCCAAGGACTTCGTTTGAAAAACTATACCGATGGACAGGTCCATTTCCACACAACTTGGGGCCAATTTCTGGCAGCATACATCCCGGCACACTGAAAACCAACCATGCGATAATTCTGTATACTCCAGGCAGCACACAGGCACCTTTCTGCTTTCTAAGCCCATCGTAATATCACCCCCAATGGTATCAAAAAGCTTTTCCGAACCTTCCGCCGGTATTTGTTTGGTGATGACTGGGCGATAGTGCTGCCGTCCTCATTTTCAATAATCTTGTCACGCTGCAGTACCGTGCGCATACCTACACGGCAGCATGAACCTTGAGGGTTTACCTTGATACTCGTTGGGCCGGCAGCTACCGCTTGGCGGAGCTCAGGCGAGTAGGACACGTCTGTCAGGCCTCCGTCGAAAAATCGACCGCTGAACTGCTCCTCTCCGATCTCACTCATGTGGGTAGATATCAGCACCAAATAGCCCTTGTGAATGAAACGCCGAAAGATGAACGTGAAGAGTACACCTCAGTTAAAGTTTCGCATATGGTCTTGAACAGCACCACAGAAGTTGTGACGATTGTACTTTCGGGCGATATGTGATGATCTAAGGTAAGGTGTGGTGAGCGTTCGGGTGGGGCACAACATGGACACGCTCGACATAGCGCTGCCGCTAACAGGGTCTTCCAATCAAACCTACCAAGATGCTGTCCTTGTGCGGGCATGCAATATTACAAGAAGTAGAATGTGCCAAGCACCCCGTGTGTTCCCCCATTGATCACAATGCTCAGCTGACGGACATGCCTGCGTAACAAACATCTGATCACCTCGGAAAAGCCAAGCAGCAGATAGCTATCGCCGAACTGTCGGTGCACGACGATGTTGCCGTACTTGTTTTGAAACGCCAACTCGACGGGCCTGTCCGGGTCGTCAAGGCTGTACAGGAGCAAGGACTTGCCGCTGAGGTTAATGGCAACGACGATCTTTTTGTCCGCCGGTGGTGTCACCGTGCGGGTCGCTTGTGGGGAGGAGGGCCGACCATGACCGTCTCGACCGCGCTTTCCACCGAGGAAGCACATAGCAGTGGGGGCTCGTTTTAATTGCGTCTGCTCCAGTGTGTCCCCCGTGTCGCTGCTCACGGTGAGGGTGCTGTCCACGGACCCCAGGACGAGCTGATTGGTCTCTCCCCACGCACCGCACGTGATACGCCGAGGGTGTTTCCCGAGAACAGGTATCTTTTTCCTGGTCCTTTTGTTGTACATCAAGATGTTGCCCTTGGCGGTTCCCACCGCCAACTGAGGACCGATCGCGGACCATGCCATAAAGGTGGGGTCCTTGAGGTTGGTGTCGATGCTGAGAGTGCTTCTGGAGGAGGAGTCCCATATGGGGATGACTCCGTTGCCCTCCTGCAGCACCGCGAGGCACTCGCCGTCCATGTCCCAGTCAAGGGCCAGGATCGAACCCTGCCCTTGGAGTGAGATCTCGTCCACGCGTTGGCCATGTCGGTCGAAGATGTGCACCAGGCCTGTACATGTTTGACGTGCGCAGAACGTGCTTTTCATACATGGACCAGTGCATGACCATCATGGTATATATGTCGTGTTGTCGTGAGTGAAGACTACAGCAGTACATATTTTAGACACGCAAGACACGGGTTGGAGTGTCACGTTGTGTCTTGGGACGTCGATCGGTGTAAGATGGAGATGAGTGAGTTACCGTAATAGACGGAGAGATGGCACCGGGTCTGTGATCATTTTTTAAATGTTTTTCCTCGGGTTTTTTGTTTTTCGTCGCACGCCGGTGCCATCTCTCCGACCCCGGTGCGAAAATGGAATTAAATCGTTTGGTTTAGCTTTTTCAATGCACCCCCGGTGCGATCTCTCCGACCGGTGCGATGCCCGATGAAATACATACAGGTTTTGTTTGCACGCACCCCGGTGCCATCTCCCCGACCGGTACCATAATATTGATACAGAGTGTAGGCAGACGGATTATGACACATCGCTAATTGACAATGCTATTGATCAGTAGAGAACCACACGTGTAGTATGGTTGTTGCTGGTTGGAAGCACACCGGTAACGACAACGTAGTAAGCTGTTACGTAACAGCTTTCCATGCAGCGAGTGGTCTTCTGGTGTTTAATGTGAGTTCGGCTATGGCGTGACGACAAACAATCGATGGTCTCATCTGAGGTACTGTTACATACGGTATCAGTTGTCTCCCGCTTTCGTTTCGGTCTTCCTCTACGGATACCAGTACGTACACAGAAATACGATAGTTTCGTGTTTGTGTAAGGTGGTAGGGTGCGGCTTGTACGTTTGTGTGTTTGGTTGAGTGTACGGCTGGCAACTTCCATACAAAAAATAAAATGCAAAGAACGGCATCCCGCGTGAACCGCGACCATGCATACGTACGCACAGGGGTGGCGCTCCGCTGACACCGTCCCCACATGTAAAAGTTCGCACAGGTGTCTGTACGTCATTCGGGTAGCTGAAAATGAGCTCAATCTTGGATCAGGGGGTCGGCGACATCGCACCCCGACCCCGGTGCGTAAATTGCATTGAGCCATGCCGTTCTTGTGGTGTTGTTTTTTTATTTTCTCGTGTATGACCCAACGAATCCATCTCTATCGAAGAGTCTAAGATACATTAGTATTGAATCCATAGCGTCAGCAAAAATTCTATTTTTCCACGATTTCCCGAGCAGCACACAGTGATATCTTCCCCGTGGGTAACAGGGTCAATGCGCACCCCGGTGCCATCTCCTCGACCGGTGCCATCTCCGACTTACGTACTGATTGATTGACGCCAAGGATGCGCGCGGCAGGATCCAACACTATTTACTAACGCTTAAATAATGTGCTGTGTTGTTTGACATGCATATGATGCGGCGGCTCCACATGCGGCGACTCGCGCGGAGCCGGAGAGCTGCTCAACACTTGTTGTTTGGGCACTCCGAGCAGGTCTTTACGGTCTGTCTTCCTTCTGTATGTGCGCACGCTTCATGGACTTGCTGGTGAGAGTCCTAGGAACGTCCAAAGGTGTAAGGAGCAAGAGCAGCCGTATGTTTTCCTTCCGTGTGTAGTCTACAGTGTAGACATTCCCGGGGGCTCCCACCGTTTTGCCCAGCTGTCGCCAGAAAGTTTCCCTCTGGCTGCCACTTGACGATGACTGTTCCTCTGCCGTGCTCTCCCGATGATATCTTGAACAAGCGCTTCATGTTCGGCTCCACACCACACGCACGCACACCACACCTCGGAAACTCCGCACTCTGCAACTTGAGAGCTCGAAACAGAAGGTCGGTCACGAGTGGGAAGCGCTACATATCTACGAAGATACTGTTGTAGGATACTGCTGTAACCGTCTCGAAGATGTCATTTTTTTTTTCTTAAGTCAGATGCATATCTCCGCTTTATTAAAAAAATTTTTATTATTATTATTTTATATTTTTCTTTATATATATATATAATGACACAACGAAACCATCTTAATATTATTATTATTATTATTTTTCTTTATATGACACAACGAAACCATCTCTATCATAGAAAAGAGTCTGAGACAGATTAGCAATGGATCCATAGCGTCAGAAAGTACCTGTATGTCTACGATTTCCCAGACAGCATATAGGGACATCTCCCCTGCGGGTAACAGGCTCAACAAGACAGTTTGGTAGCTGTCTTGTGTGTCTCATATATGTTTTGTTGGGAAGGTGCAGATGATATGTGTTAGGTACTGGTCGGGCGTTTTGTGTGTGACACCCTTTTAATCGTAGGGCATGTAATCTCCCTCAGTTTACAAACGTATTTTCAATGTGGTACGCGTATGTACCGGGTATTTGGGTAGTATATGTATGTATGTGTGGATACATTCGGAGTATGTGCGGACACACGGGCGTGGTCTCACCATTTTCTTACCTTTTTGTGCAATTTCGTGTAATCCCGTGCTGTTAAAATCTGCAAATGTCACGGGAGAACATTTTTTCTTCATTGTCTCCTGACGTGGTCGCCGATAGAGGCATGTGGTTGAGGTTTCATCACCGACATGTGGGTGGGTGTTAAATGTAGTGGGTATGGCTACCTATCATTATTTTTTTTTCTACATGTTCTGAATCGCAACCGGTTTTAATTTTTTTTTATTCTTCGGCTTGTTGGCTGCGGTGTGTCTCGGTGCGACAGTTTCTACCGTTGTGCCGAGACCGACCGGGGTTGCCGACCGCCCGACTTCCCGTCGGAGTCGGCACCCCTTCGTCGCACCACTGCTGTATGCCTCACACTCCATCTCAACCTTTCCTCCCACACCAACAAGCTTTGCCAGGCCTCGACACTCGCAACCCAAGAGCAAAGCACAACTCGCTACACAACTAAAGTCACAGGAGTCAGCCATGGAGAGCCCGATGGTAGTCCCTTCCCACCACCAAGAATACGGCAGCGAGCCGACAGCAGCAGCAGTAGACGCAGTTGTCGACGACGACGACACCCCGGAGCCACCAACCAAGCAGCAGAAGCTCATCAAGGCCGGACTACTATTGGCCCTCGTGGTCATCGTTGTGTACGTCATCCTCGACTACACGGTGAGACGACATGCAAATATGTCTCGTGCCACGCGCCGCTCTCTAGCAGCAGAATGTTGGGTGGCACGAGACATTCCTTTGCAGTCTACAGCAACAGCAGCTGTTGGCTCTGCCCCTTCATTTGTACAGATATTCCCAAGAGGTTGCAGGGCGCTCACCGCAATCACGACTAGTATAGGCAAAAGAGCGAGCACACAGAATGGCGCTGCAGGCTGCGATTGAGGGCGTTGTGTGTGTGTGCGACTCTCTCGGTGTTGGTGTGTGTGTCGGAGCTCCCCGTGTTTGTCCAAACCAGCTGGTCCAAACCTGCCCTCAAACGGACGCGACGTCAGACAGCAAGCCCGTTCCCTAAGGGACACCTGCCCCTTTCCCAAGGGACACTTGCCCCTTTCCCAAGGGACACTTGCCCCTTTCCCAAGGGACACCTACAACAACCATTGATAAGAACCATGCTGCTGCGCATAGCGATGAAAAGCTTACGTTCTCCTCAGCTGTGACTGCTCCATGTACCTACGTACCGCCACAACGGTCGTGAACAAACTGCTGTTCATGTATCGAGGACCAGATTTTTCGCCCGCGTGGGTGCATGTTCTTCTTTTTGCGGATCGATCATCATCCCGCCGTTCTATCGATCCCCGGTTGCATGCACCCTACCAAGAACCACCTCGTACCATAGGTTTTTGCCAAAAGCTGTTGGGCGAGGTGTTGCCTCGCTTCGTACCTACATAAAAATTTAGCAGGGAGGGCCACTGGTTCGTAGATAGTATTACAGCAGAGCATACGCGTAGGAAATGCTACTGTACCTGAACGATGAACGATGAAAATTCTGGGAGAAGATCATTAAAAAAACGGAGCGAAGAGAGTGCGGCGAATGTATGGAACTGGGCGACTTTTTATGGTTGTATGGGGATTTGGTCGGCTACTTTTCTCTCTGCTGCGATGGAGGACGTTGCTGCGTTCTTCTGTCTTCACAACCAAAGTTTTCTTCCTTTCAGTACTCGATAAGGAAAACGAAACAATGAGGCACATCTCTTCTAGATAACGTCCAGCTCCCACGTTCAGCGACGATTTTACCTTGCACCACGTCCGGAACGGTCAAAGTGTAACCGTGCTAATATATTTACTGGTGCCTCTCCGTCGCTATCGCCTTGCGCCCCCCAGGTTCCCGGCCTAGGCTTCGTCGCGGATACCCTGACGTCCTTCCTGGAGTGGGTTGAGGACAACCCCGGGCTCGGTGCGCTTGCCTTCGCCCTGGTGTACGTCTTCACCACCGTGTGCTTTATCCCCGGCTCGCTGCTCACGCTGGGGGCTGGCCTGGTGTTCGGCCGAGCGCTGGGGACTGGCTTGGGCATTCTCGTCGGGTCCCTTGCTGTGCTGGTGAGTTTTGGAACCTACGAAGAGGGAGTTTTGTAAAACCTACGGCCAGTCTGTGGCTTTGTTTCGAACATCCAGCGGCGTAGTATTCAGACTCGATGCTCATAGCGGGGGGCTGAACCCGAACCTAGCCACCAAGGTAGTGCCGTCTACGCACGTTTGCGGGTGGGACCCGTCGCGGTAAGGGAATGCTGCACCGTGAGCGCCGGGAAAACGCATGCCAAACGATCGCACGTGCTCGTGTCATGGTTTGTCGAACGGTATCCCCGCCTTTTCTCGGCACTTGGAACACACCTTCCGAGAGCATCAGGTCACGGTCAGCGTAGTCGTAAGTTACCCAATCTGAAGTGCTCTACACTTCGCCTTGCCCGTAGGCGGCAGGTCGCTCGCTGCACCTGTTGCTGATCTAGCCCCCCTCATTGATCGTCCTCTCTCCATTGTGCCACTTCCACAGGCCGGTGCCACAGTAGGTTCCATCTTGGCCTTCTTGCTGGGCCGCTTCGTCCTCCAAGAGCAGGCACAGGGGCTGTTCAACAAGTTCAAGGTCCTCAAGGCCGTCAACCGTGCCATCAAGTCGCAGGGGTTGAAGCTCGTGATTCTCCTTCGTCTCTCTCCCGTGGTGCCGTTCAGCGCCTTCAACTACGTCATGTGAGGACATGCCCGTTGACGGTTACTATTGCTGTAGAACTGGTTGAGTACTTACCACCAGCCCCGCGAACTTGCGAACTTGAGTTGTCCGCGGGGTTGGGTTTGGTCACCGATGGGGATGAGTCCCATAAAATGGGAGGGGATGAATTGAAAGAAGTGCTCGTATTAGTCGTTCTTCGGAGATGTCTCGTGCGGAGCAGAATGCGACAGATTCCACAGGAAAAAAGACTGGCAAGTTGCGAAAGTCTCCCTCCACCGCACCTCTCTCTCACACCACCCTACTTTTCCTCTCTCCCGCTGTTTTTTGCGCAATATCAGGGGAGTCACGGACGTCTTCTTCAGGGACTACGCCATCGGTTGTGTGGGGTTCATCCCCGGAACCGTTGCGTTTGTGTTCATCGGCACCACCGCGTCCGGCCTGTTGGGAGACGACTCGGAGGAGGAGGAGGAGTCTGAGGACGGGAACAACGGCACGGTGCAGCTCATCGTGGGGATTGTCGGGGGCATCGCAACGGTGATCGCGGTCGTGCTGATCAGCATCTACGCCAAGCGCGCCCTGAACAAGGTTTTGGAGGAGGACCGGGTAGAGCAGGAGGCGCTGGAGATGGGCTTGGAAAGCGGCAATGGGGGGATGAACAATATGGAACAGTCGGCTCAAGATGGCGCGCGGCCAGCGGTGGTAGAGCACGCCGTTCGCATGCCGGTCTAAAGGTTGGGGAGAGCGAGGGCGAGAGGAGAAGGACACAAAATGCAGAATTGGTGCCTGGTTCTGCTGCGGCGGTCCTTGTATGCAGTTGGGGGTGGGTGGGCAGGGGGAGGGCTTCGCGAGTAGAGAATCTTCGCTGCTATCTTGGTAGTGCGCATGGGCGCTTAACTATCTGTTCAACGACGGCAACCTTACGTCGTCCGTCCTGGGTGTTATTCTCCCTCCGCCTCCTGTAAACGTGTTTTATTAATGCTATGGTTTGTTGGTGTTGTTCTTCGGTGTGATTTCGTCAGAAGTTTTGTGAGGTGTGATTTAATCAGTTGTTTTAATGTCGTGTTTAGTGGAGCTCCATAGGCGGTTGTGAAGCAAATCGGCCGTTTCGGCGAAAAAAGCCCCCTTGGGGCATGTGGTAACAAGAATGAGAGGACGTGGAAAAAAGCGTTTGTTGCTGAAAGATGCCGGGAGGACGCGATCATTGCGCTTGCGTGCAGTGTTCAAGACGACGCTGTAGACTTTTTCGAGGTGTGCATTGCCTTTCCCATATCGCGTCGGGCCTGGAATGTTGGGTCTGTCTCCAAAAAATGTTGGGTGTTGCCTGATCTCAGAAGAAGCCGATACAATAGTACATTAGTATTTTCTTGGTGTGACACGGCAGCGACCCTAGACTTGGTGGAAGACTTGGTGGAATAATGGTCAAGAGTATTGTACAATAGCGGGGACCACGACAGGCTTGAAAATGTTCCGTTTCGATGTCGTTTTTTTGGGAAGGTCAAGACCGGTGTGCGTGGTGCCTTGAAGTGGCCTACAAGGAAAACTTGGAAATGAGCGATCGATGTAAATAATGCGTACGAGCAGATCCAATCGGGTCAGAATATGCAGCTCACCATCCAAGGCGAGATAGGGTAGCTCGTTTACGCTGTGATCTTCCCCATATTTTTGGGGATGCATCCAAAAATAATGAAGTTGTGGGACCAATTTGGAAAAATTCGTTGGCCCCGAATAAGGTACCACTCCATCGACTTGTAAGGCGGCCCTCCTGTCAGATCGTAACTCTTTTTTGTGCTCGGTCTCGCTCTTGATGTATGGCTGGAAGTCTGGGGGCCGTGTCCCGACGACGATATGATACCAGTAAAATACTACAGGAAGGAGAATGTTTGCGGCCAGCCTTCATTTGCCACCGCTGAGATGCACGGTGCCAACACCATAACACCATCCTATACATATTCGCAACGAACGAAGCAGCAGCAGAACGAGAAAAGAAAGCAGGGTTCGTCATTGTGTTACCGTGTTCGAACAAGCTTGCTTGGTTGGGTCCATTAGTACTCACACTCAGCATTCATTCGTTTCGTCAATCCACCACCAACGTGCGAACCAGAGCCCCACGTCGTAAATTAATTTCTTCGTTGAGGCGCCAAAAACTGCTGCGTACATACTTGTAGGTGTCTCCGTTCTTCATGTGTTTCCAATCCCTCCTCCTCCTTCTCCTCCTCCTCCTCCTCCTCCTCTTCTTCCTTCTCATGATCGATCATGAGTTGAGTATATCCGCCGCCAACCAAGCCTTACAGATCCACTGATGATGCACTCCAGCATATCACTGCTGCTGTGTGGCATAGTAGTACATGTATAGTGTAGAGGTTTGATGTTCTGTACCGATTTTAGTATACTGCAAAATGGATAGTAAAGTAAATATTATCACCTGCCGAGGTCCGGCAAATTACGCACACGTCGTCGTGTGCACATAGCGGCGAGTGGTTTGCTCCATTGCCCGGGTTTGAGGTGTAAGGAGAGGTCGATGTGTGTGTGATGGTGTGTGTGGTGAGTCGATGTGCAATCATACACGGGGTCTACGTAGAATGGAAATCATGTCACATTTAGGTATGTGGGAGCACATACACGCGGAGCCGTGTAATCACCCCGCAATCCACCCACAGGAGGACAGAGACAGCCGTATAGCCTGTGCGAGAGGTGCTGCCCAGGCAAGCGTACCCTGTCAGTACAATGCATAGCGTGGGAGAGAGAGTACGGGTCAGTACGGGGCCCGGGAAATCTTGCCGAGGGCTCATTCTTTGCGTCGGGAGCACAGAAGAGGTGATTGCCATGATAGTAGTCTCCGTGCAGCAGTTTGATATATGTCTCGATTGCTACATATTCAGAATGCAGATGTCACGTGTACATCGACTACAAGTACAGGATTGCACGAACAGCGTGAAGGGGTTGTGTGAAGTGTGATTTGGTTGCTGCCACAGGACGAAACGGCTGTGGTATTCGACATGATCAACACATCCCTTGTAGTAGTTCCATGCACACGTGCACACACGCGTCGTTTTCATACATACCCCCCCCCCTCTCTGCCCCCCACTCGGTGTTTGCCATCGGGATTGGGTTTTCGTCGCTTGGCAACGACGTTGTAAAACAAGCCAATTCACTTCGTGAACTCGGCAACCAGGTTACCGTCTTTTTTTTTTACCTCTGGTTTTTTTTTTGGCGGTAACCATAATGGTGGTCGAGTAGATCATGTTGTGCGGGGTCGAGAAACCTCACTCCGCGCAACGGGGGATGATCGCACCACGTTGTGTTAAAATGGTCAAGCTTCCTCGAGGCAGTTACACAGTGCTTACAACTGTCTCTGGAAGTGAAAGCACCAGAAAATAAATTAAGTCATACGTAGCTGTCATCCGTACGCAAGGAAGTAAGCACAAGATGCCGAACACCCTTAGCAGGATGCAGCTCACCCTTCATGCGACTCGCCAAATACCTCACGGCGCTTCGCGCTTGGTGATGTGAGAGCCTGGTCCGGTGAGAACCCGGCGTGCTCCGTCCCGGCTTTGTAGGGATGCGAGGTCAATGGTCAAACGACTACGGCATGCACGACTATGAGTACACCCCCCCCCCCCCCCCCCCC